TATTTTATTTTATTTTATTCTTTTTATGTTTTTAAATGCATTAACTACAGTATTAAATAGGCTATACAATCATTACAAAGTCCTAATGATAACATATCAATGTATAATATCATCCAGTAAATGATCATTTAAATCAAATGATTCAGGTTTTTGGCAACAGAGAGGAAGACATGACACACATAGGTAGAATGTGTCCAGATACGCAAACAAATCCAACGGGGTGAGGTACGTAGGCAGGTCAAAGTCAAAAATGGGTACAGACACAGACACTTTTTTGTCATATTTATCAGGATCGCGATCTGGAAGCAATGGCAACTTTGAGGATTTTGTGGAAGAAAGAGGGAAAGTGGAAACTTATAAATAGGTTGAGGTAGATGAGGATAGTTCAATATTCTGGAGTTAAACTAGCATCACTGTGACACAGAGTAAAAAGTATATTTTTGTTTGTGTAAGAGTGACCAGAACAAACAAACTGTGTTTTAGTGTAGTGTATTTGTGGCTCTCTCTCTTTCATTCTGTCTAATCGTATCTCCAAGGGTAAGGACAATATTGCTGATCGCGTTTTTGTTGCTGACTTTACACTTGACTCAATTCAGTCAATACATTTATGTTGGTACTAAAGTGAAGGAATCAGGGATATAAATACAGAAAAAAAGTACTCTCCCAAATAAGTCAGTAAACAAAATTACAATGCCCTCCCCCTTCTCCAACCAGTCCTTCCCCTTTAATCACTTTCATTTAGTCCCTTAGTCCGGAGAAGACTAATGGAAAAGATGCATCACATAGTGTGGCTCCCCTGCATAATGGCTGTTGGTAAGATCTAAAACAATATCTACAAAAGCAAATATAAAGGGATGCTTTATGTGTCAGGGGAGGAGTTGAGGGTGGGTAACCTGTTTCTATCAAAACATTGAATTTGTGGCTTTTATGGGAAGGTACAGGCTAAAATCAAGGACAGGATTTAAGAAGTCCTCCTGAGCAGAGTGTTTTTATTCAACAATGTTTTTTTCATAGTAAAATGTGTCTTGACCTTTAGTCTGTAATGGTTGAAAACTACTATTTATTAGTAATATATGTGTCTAGATCTTTGTGTTTATTTTTCTTCCAAATTCTCCTCTGTTGTATTATTTTTATTCAGTCTACCATTATTAACCTTTTGTTTTACACTTATCACGAACCAGTTGTCGTGTAATCTTCTGTCAAAATGGGGGTTGCTAAACCTAAATAAAAAACACAAGGTCAAGGTCCAATGTATGATTAGCCTGCAGTTTAATGAAAGCACTGAAGTCTGGTGGTTTTGTCCCAATGGCCTCGAGTCTTATCTCTTCCTGGCACTACTCACGGTATTTGCTTCCAGTCACATATACACACAGGAACATTAAAACCTCTACAACGTATTATCTAGCATAACATTTTGCAATAACTACAGGCAACAATACACACTTGAATGAGGGTGAATTGTTGAGCAGCTTGTGCTTAGAGCAACACCATAGGCAGTACTCACTGTATTGCTGGGGGAATCTATTAACATTATTTTTTTTTTTTATTTATGTCCAGGCAACCCAATCAGTAGGTTACACTCTGGAGCCGCTGGAATCACTAACAATTCTACTGGAAAAAAAAGGGCGCTTGGATAGCTCATCAGGTGAGCTGGCGCCCTATGTACTGGAATCCGACCTGGGGCCCTTTGCTGTGTGTTCACCTCTCTCGTCTCTCTCCCGTTCCCGTCCTATCAATTAAAGGCAATCAATTTTTTTGATTATTATTTTTTTATTTTTTTACTGGAACAATTAAATGTTGACAAACCCAAAACCCAACCCAGAGAACATGGAGGTCATCGTGAAATCCATCTACGATTCATAACAAAATGACTACAGGAGAATGACAAAAACAACACCATCCGGCTGGTTATTGAACAATATGAAATTCCAGGAATTACTGATATTAGCCTCCTTTTTTTTTTTTTACACAGTTAATTAAAAAAGAGATGCTTTAAAAACCCTTTTATAGCTGTGACTCTGACAGCTAAGTGTCCAGTAGTTGTATTTTTGGTTAGCATCATAGCAGGGTTCTGAAATGATGATTATTTATTAACAAAACCTTTACATTAGATTAAATCTTTGCTAACATGTTGAATGTGGTCATTTCTGTTCACAATTTGTCAGCCATTTCTGTATCTTTGGCTTTCAACATTGAAATAACAAACACCCCGGTCTATACAACAGAACAAAAAAGATTCTTCCGAAACAAAGTGCTTCAAATCATCTCTGGTAGGAACAAAGGGTAAGTGCTTCATGTGTTTCATTGGGGGCTCTGGTAATTACAAAACCCGCTATTATTACTCACATAAACTCCTTGATCATTATTTTGTAGGTACAGCAAAAATTACATATTAACTATATGGCATGAAGTTTCAGCACATGGTTTGCCTATTAGTGTACTGGAGGTGCTCCGGTTTACAATAAGATCAGATGTCATAAATTATGTCAATCCATAAGATGGGTCATATTCTCAGAGGTAAGTGGCAGGGAAGCTGAATCAGGGGTTTACAGTAGACCTGCAGGCGGACGGCCTGGAAGCAGGGCAGAAGTGGACCCTCAAGATTCATGCGGAAATGGCATGAGATCAAATGAAGGTGAGGGCAGAAATCCTCAGGGGACGGCGGCGAGGCAGAACCCTCCTCGGTGGCTGGTGACAAAGGCGGTGAAGGTAGGACAGTTATTGCTGCAGCTCGTAGATACAGGCGTCAGCCGACATGAACCAGAAATAGGTGTTGGCCTGAAAGCTGACGGGTAGACCAGGACAGATGACAATTCAATTAGTGCTGGGCAGTAGCAAGGTGAAAAAACTCGGGCAGCTGAGTCTCTGGGGTGCTGAGTAGCTGAGTCTCTGGGTGCTGAGTAGCTGAGTCATGATGACTTTTGTCTCCTTCTGTGGCTCCATGTGACCACATGAAAATGGTCAGCCATCTGGGCATCATTGCCCACCTGACATAGTGCCTGACAATTAATCCAATTACAATGTACCTGTAAACCATCACTTAAAATAGACCTTATAAAGGGCTTCACTATTGAGGATAAACTGGAACAGATCATAACTGCAACATATCATTGCATAAAACATATGTGGTTTTTGTGCATATACATTGTTTATACTTCAGGCCCTGGTGTACATAAGAGTCCATTTACTATTACCATGTTGGTTGAACTCATCCACAGAGGTATCACTGGACACCAGCAGCTAAACGGATCCGAAGAAACAGGCAAATCTGATACAAACCAAAAACCCACCGGTGCCTCATTATTCCAGGTACATAAATATGTTTTTTAACATTAATTTACAACAATTAATCAGAATATTAAAACATAAAAGCTACAGTTTCCAATAATGTTGGAATACAGATGCAGGGCGTTTGGACCGATTTCCAAACGTATTGATTTGTT